GATGAAATATGGAAAATGGTGTACCCCAAACATCCACCACCCCCTCCATAACCACACAAAAAGGCAAGTGAAGTTCAAAAAAATATTAAAAATAAAAATAAAATAAAATGAATAGTAAAGAGTGGGGTGGTGTACATTTGGGGTACACCTTTGGTGTACCCCTAGCATCTCCCATGAAATATTCCAAAGGCCTTATCAACGGTGGATACACTGGGCGGGAAACACTATTTTTTTCTTTTTTTTCTTCCCCCAATTCTTTTGCTTTTGTATATTGTATAGACTAGATTTTACCCGTGCGATGCACGGTAAGAATATTATATAATAAAATTACGGAGTATAATATAATTTATAGATATATAGTTAAGTAAAGCTTGTCTCAGTGTTACAATGGATTTTTTTAGCAGCTGTGATGGATTCTAATAGTAGACGTGGTACTCATTTTTTCTCATGTAACCATTTTACATTTCAAAAAATAAAATGAACAAAAGTTACAAAATCTGAATTTTTTAAATAAATATTTAAAGTGTGATAAAAAGACTCCTTTGATCATTGCAATTCAAGATCTTCCATCCTTGTTGATATTTGAAGAATTGTTATTTTCTATTGAGAAATAACGGAGGGCGAAGCCTCGTATAAATAGTTACAGAAGATTCCTAATTACGGAAGGGAACCTATACATGTAAACTACCATAAATACAATGATAACATAATTAATATTAAATATATACATAACATATTTAACATGCACCCAACTACGTGACCGGCGAAGGACGGACGCCAAGACTGTGTCTGAAGTCGGAGAAGAGAAGAGACGGAAGCCCTTTAGTGAAAATATCTGCATACTGGGAAGAGGAAGAGACATGTAGTACTCTGACATGCCCTAGGGCAACCTTGTCTCTGACAAAGTGGATGTCGACTTCTACGTGTTTGGTGCGTTGATGCTGTACTGGGTTTGATGATAGATACACGGCACTGACGTTATCGCAAAAGACCAATGTAGCACGCCACAGGGGTTGCTGAAGCTCAAGGAGAAGATTTCTGACCTAGCTTGCCTCCACGGTGTTTGCCACGGCACGATACTCGGCCTCAGCACTGGAGCGGGAGGTGTTGGCCTGGCGCTTGGAGGACCATGAAATGAGGTTGTCTCCAAGGAAGACACAATACCCCGAGGTGGAGCGACGTGTGTCGGGGCATCCAGCCCAATCAGCATCGGAGTAGGCCTGCAAGGAATCTGTGCCCGCACGGTGAAGAGTGATGCCATGAGTAGCAGTGCCATGGATGTAGCGTAGAACCCTCTTCATAGCTGTGAGATGGGTGCTGCGGGGGGCATGGAGGTGTAGGCAGAGCTGTTGGACTGCATATGTAAGATCAGGCCGAGTGAAAGTAAGATATTGTAAGGCACCGACGATAGATCTGTATATAGAGGGGTCCGGAAGAGGTGTACCGGACGTAGCTGACAGCTTTGCTTTGGTGTCGACTGGCGTGGAGATGGGCTTGCAGTGGAGCATGTCGGCACGTTCCAGGATTTCATGAGCAAACTGTGTCTGGTGAAGAAAGAGGCCGCCGCCAGCTGAACATTAATCCCAAGGAAAAAATTTAGGTCCCCCATATCTGTCATGGCGAACTCTCCCTTAAGTTTCTGAGTAAGGCAGGTGAGAAGAGCAGTGGAGGAGGCTGTGAGAACTATGTCGTCCACATAAAGAAGAAGATAAGCCGTGTCAGAACCATGAGAGTAAACAAAGAGGGGCGTGTCACTTTTGCAGCCCCGGAAGCCTAAAGTGAGGAGGAAACCTGCAAACCGGTGATACCAAGAGCGCGGGGCCTGCTTGAGGCCATAAAGGGCCTTCTTCAACCTGCAAACATAATGTGGACGTGCGGGATCCTGAAAACCTGAGGGCTGGCAGGCATAGACTGTCTCGTGGAGCGTACCATTCAGAAAAGCATTCTTGACGTCTACCTGATGGATCGGCCAGCTGCGAGCTAGAGCGAGAGTGAGAACAATCCGTACTGTGGCTGGTTTAACAACAGGACTAAATGTCTCATCGTAGTCGATGCCATAGCACTGATTGAATCCGCGGACCACCCATCGAGCTTTGTACCTGGACAGTTCACCTGTAGGACCAAATTTGTGGCGAAAAAGCCACTTGCCAGTGATAATATTTTGTGAGGGGGAGGGGGGTACTAATTCCCATGTTTCGTTTTTAATCAAAGCATTAAATTCATCACACATAGTATTGTACAAGTTTTGATCCTTTAGTGCACTACGATAGGTGGGTGGGAGTGGGGAAATTTGGACCATGGAGTTAAGGTTAAGGATATGTTTGGGTTTAGATATGCCGACTTTGGACCGGGTGACCATAGGGTGGGTGGTGGTGGGATTGGGTTGGGGGGAATGCTGGGCCGAAATGGGCNCGGAAGTAGTGGTAGCTTCGAGAGAGTCTCTCGGGGAACTGGACTAGCCACGAGGTGGTGAACCAGTATACATCGGTGTGTTCTTTGCCTTCTCTCTTTTATTTCCGCTGCACTTACGTTTATATTATTAATCCTGCGAAAATCGGTAAACATTCTCAACAACTTTATTCACCCTCTCTCTAGAGTTGCACGCCTTGTCTAACAATTGTGATGCAAGTTTGCTTCTTTAAAGCCCATGGGGTAGCTCCTCCTCCAAGTAGAAACACCCATCCACTAGTAGCTAGAGGAATAGTCTTCCATATTTGTTATCGAAATTGCACGGAAAATTCCTTCCAGAATTGAATGATTGCTAGAGTGTACCAAAGCATATTCCATGGTTCTCCTCAATTATTCCCAAGCTTTCCAACAGCAAATGCTATTTCAGGTCTTCTATAAGTCATGGAATACATTAACCAGCCAAGAGCCCTTGAATATTCAAGTTGAGACAATACCTATTTCAGATCTAAAACCATCCTCTTTTGTTCAGATCATATATATTGAACTAAGAAAATTTGTAGTGAGCTTATAATTTCAAAATTGTTGCTTAGTTAAATTGACGCCATATTTGAGAGTGGGATTTGTGTACTCGCGTGTATATATGATCTAGAACCATCTTCTTTTGTTATATTATTCGAGCCTCTAATTTTCTTAGCCTATTAGCTCAATGGTAGAGCATCTTGTGTAAAAGTGCACAAAGACGTGGGCTCAAGTCCCATATAGGCTTTTTTATGAATTTTACATTAAAAAATGCTGGTATTTTTGTATGTGTAGTGTTTTAAAACACATATAAGTGTGGCAAAACAAAATATTAGCCACAAATGTAAGTGTGACTAATGTATTCATTAACCACACTTATTAAAAGTGTGGCAAAATTTTCCCCACACTGTCACTCGCCGCACTTACTTATTGTGCGACAAATAGACTCTCCACACTTATATGTGCGGTGAACAACAATTTTAAGTGAGATGAAATACCAATTTTCTTGTGATGGGTGTTCCATACCCATATTCATAAACAAAAGTGTATTCGACCCATACTCGCTTTCCTAACGGGTATTGATTTTGTGTACTATATTTAGACCCGTTGGGTCTCGTTATTGGTTCAGGTGTATTCGTGATACAATTAGATATCTTTAATTTTATACTTTATAATTGATCAAAATTTGGTACAAATACTATATATCGCACTATGATAGTATTCCTTCGGAAAAAGAAATTAAGATTCTAGATAAATGTTACTCCGTATTCTATATATCTTTGATCAAAAAATTTAAAAGAGGTAATGGACGATTAAACTTTTTTGGTATTTCTTGTTCCGTGGTTACTAATTAATGCATTTAAAAGTCATGGTCATGGGCTCTTAGATACTTAGATATTGTTTACATGTGGTCGAAGTTCGAGTTTTCGGTTGAGCTTGAATTTTAAAAAATTAAATGAGGACGGAGGGTATGGGTAACCCAATTTTTTAATATCCAAACCCGCTAAAAAGATACGGGTTTCATTTAAGTTCGGTCGGGTCTAAACAAGTATTATGTCTGATTTTGTTGAGTGGTTGATCCCCACCGCCCCCACTTATCTTTAATATACACAATTTGAATTGAGTAATAATATATGAATAAATGTTTCTTTCATAGAAAAATATGTCATGCTACATATCAAATTTGTCCTGAATACATTTACCCACTTCAAAAGTGAAAGGGGTATGGAAACTTCTTTTATGCCATTTCTCTTGTTTTTTTATTCTTGTGTCAAAGAGAGAGTAGACGATTGAACACGATGAGAGGGAGAAAATGTTATTGTTTCCACTTCATAAAACAAGTCATGATGAGATGGAGAAAATATTATTATTTTCACTTCATAAAATAAGTTATCCGTCTTTTGACATTGATTATTGAATCTCGGAGATTATTGCGGGCTATTTGAGGACTATACAACTAGTGTTCTATTTGATTTGAGGCTTTGGTATGCTTGGTTGCCTAAGGGAGGGAGGTGCCCCCATTATCGAATATTACGGGTGGGGGGTGGGTTGGACTCAGATCAGTTTGAGATCACATGTAACATTGCGTGACTCTCAAGGAGTTGTGTCATATTCATGACACCAAACCATGGTGTTAAAAAATTGTAAAAACAAATTGATAGTAAATTTATCGTTTTTGTTTCTAAATAAGTTTATCTTTCATTACTAAACGGTAAAATTATTGATTTTTTGTTTGTAATAATAAAATAGTCATACTCCGTATTATTTATTATTTTATACAAGTAAAAATTTTGATGTACGTAATATTTTAAAAAATGTTCTTCTTTGTCTGAAAATGTTTTTCTTATCATGATTTACGAGACTTAACTAAAATTATTTTAAACTTATTTATTTGGTCAATTGACTTTAAACTGAAATCTCTGTATTTATTTTACATTCTTAATCTAGTGGACTTCCATATTTGGACCTCTATTGATTTATGGACGGGGAGTCCGACGAGCCCATCAACTAAGCGGTTCGCCAAGACAGTCACATGACCAGCGAGACCAATTTGCGTTAACGGGCCTGAACCTGCAAGGGCACATTCTGTCCGAGAAATCGACCGGAAGTTGCAGAGATGAAATTCACAGATTCGCCGGTGATCGACCTTCCGGTGCTGGATAAGCAGCTCTCCGTCCAGCAAGACAACGGAACGATGCACGTGGGAACCAGCGTCTGGCCGTGCTCCCTCGTCCTCGCCAAGTTCGCCGAGCTCTGGCACCCGCCGTCGTGCGCCGCCCCCGACAACCCCTACGCCCAACTCCTCGACTTCAAAGACAAGAGCGGCGTGGAACTCGGGGCCGGATGCGGAATCGCCGCTATGGGTCTGTTCTTATTGGGCCTGAAAGACATCGTCGTCACCGACATCTCCCCCGTCATGCCGGCCCTAAAGCACAACCTGAAGCGCAACAAGCAAGTTCTCGGAAAATCGTTGAAGACGGCGGTTTTGTATTGGAACAAGCCGGATCAGATCAGTGCATTGGGGAAGCGGTTTGACTTCGTCATCGCCACCGACGTGGTTTACCTGGAGGAAACGGTGGGCCCTCTCATCTCCGCCATGGAATCTCTTCTCAAGGAACACGGCGTCGTTTTGCTTGGCTACCAGCTTCGATCTCCAGAGGCGCACAGGATGTTCTGGGACCTCTGCCCTGAGGTTTTCGATGCCGAGAGAGTTCCACAAGAGCATTTGCACCCAGAGTACGGTTACGAGGAGACCAGTGTATACATACTCCGGAAGAAGAAGAAGAAGAATGAGACATCATAATCTCCAATATCAGGTTCTTTGTTTCAGGCCAGATTCCTGTTTTCCCTATGTTTTCTTGTCGATTATGTTCATATATGAGCTATTCCATAGTTTTTGAAGTTCTATGGTTGATTGGGTCTGTGTTTAAGGTCTCAAGCAGATTAGAGAGTAAGTATTTGAAGAAGAAGAAGAAGAAGAACACATTCACGAAGCAAATGATCTTCTAATTGTTTATCCAGAAAGTCTGTATGATTGTATCAAACATGACTGTGTTAGTATATTATTATCTGCTATTTCTGAAATTCTAAAAGAGAAATGGAGCCATTATTATCATTATCTCACTTTAATGCGTGTTATCGTTTTGATATATGTGAACAAGGCAGAGACTGGAGTAATGCTCTGGTTTATGATTCTTTGTTTGCGAACGAAACAATTCCATGGCTTCCAAACATTGTAAAGGTTAGCAAGAATGCTGAGTTTTTGCTAATTAAGTGTTCAATTGTATGATATCATGTTAGGGAGAAAGACCAAAGTAGGACTAAAACATTGAAAACATACCAAAATAGAACTTCCATGTTTTTATTCTCGAAATAGGACTTACATTACCAAACATGGTCATATACATTACCAAAAAAGTATAGTAATCTGCACATGTACACTGCCACATTACCACAATGCAAAGTCACATTACCACAGTGCAAAGTCCTATTCCGGAAAAAAAACATGAAAGTCCTATTTTGGTTTTTTTTTTCTATGTTTTAGTCCTATTTAGGATGATTTCTAATCATGTTATCCCCTTGGTCATTATATGAAGATGAGATTGTTGATCCCCCTTTTGCTGATTAATACTTTTTATGTTCAATGCTGATAGGGAATTCCGTTTTATTCAAGTTAATTGATGATGAGTTCATCATCTCTTTTTTTTGTTACAACAAGAAGATTGGGTGTAGCAAAATATACATATACCAACATATAAGCAATTTTAGTAATGTCTATGAACGTTGGGACAATATAATCACCATCAAGGAATGAAGGGAGTGTCACACATATTAAAATTTGGGAGTAGTTGAGTGGTGGGTCGATCATGACCGTATTGATCAAAGGATATGAGAGTTGGATCGAATGGTTCAACCGTCGGTGTGACCCTGTCATGATCGCCGGTGCCATTGGCCTTGACAAGAGGTAGGAGAGAGTCCTTAAGTTGTGGGGCACCACTACATTGTCTAGGTTGTGTTTGGTAGAAAATCTTTGATGCAACAAGCTCTCCTTCCTTCTCGTCCTCGTCATCTCCGAGGTGGTATTGATGCATCACCCAATTGGTTTTCTCGGGCTTTCGTTGCTTCCCGTAGTTTGTATACAACACCAGAATTTTCTTGTACCCTTTCATCTTGCCTTTCACCGCCACCGGCCTTGTCTTTCCCGTTTTGTGCCACCGCGTTTCGCTCCCGTCGGCCTCCGTGTGCACTTTTCTTCTCTTCCTAGTGCCGGTGGTATAAGCCTTGGATGGTCTGTGAAAAAAGTGCCGGACTAAACCATCTTTTGTGACTCCTACATGTAATTTTAGAGAAGAAACCATAAAACCATTATGGGAAAAAAAAGAAAACAAGAGAAAAAAAGTAAAAAAGATCTTCTTAAATACTTTTTTTCGGAAAAAATGTTTCCATTATCTTTCTTTTAAAACTTTCCACAACTACCCTCATTCTCTTTATTTATTTACACCTTACTCATCTCATTTAAGATACTATTTCCATTTTCATTTGGGTTAATTTAGTAAACTTCTACTTCTTATCAACTCTCTTTAAAGAGTATGATATATCAACTTGAGAAGATGAGAATAATGTCAAAAGGAGGTAAAGTATTATAGAGCTAATGTGGTCTTGTGTTTGGTAGAAGATGGATGTAATTGATGATGTGGGCTTTTAATTCAGACAAAATGGATCTTTCATTAGAAGATGAGAAAGGGATGATAGAAAAGACAATTGGGTAAGCGTCAAGTTAAGTGCAGCTAGTATGCAAAAATAGGGAGTACAATATACGGAGTATGAATTTATGAATAAATCAATGTTAATTATTGTTCCTTTCGGTTTCAAAAAATAATAATTATTGTTCCTTTCCACCAAATTTTATTGTTCAATTCCCTTAATATCTCGAATTATTTAAACAAGAGTAAAGTAGGGAGTAATAAAAAGTATTTCAATCTTTTTAAACATTAATAACGCAATTACAATGTAGTATTTTAATAGTTCATACATTCTCAACATATTAAATTACATAAAGTCACAGTCCCCGCTGGAGTTTAAACATGTGACCTCCCCATAGAGAATCATCACGATATTGCTGGACCACATGGTCTTTGACAAAAACCTTTCACAATTTAGTTTGTCTAACCACAAATTTCATTTCTTTTGACATCAACCTCTAATGTCATTTTATGACATCGGTGAACTTTGGACACATACAGTGTTGCGTTGGGCTCAAAAAGAGCTTTCACCCGCTCTAATCATCCTGCACCCTCACCCTAGACCCCTACCGCCCCTTCCAATTCACCATAGAAATGTTGGCAATAGGCCAATAGAAGGGGCGTAGGAGTTCTTTGAGAGGATTAGGAACAATTTTTGAAATCAAACGAGCACTATAAGTGTCTAAAATGTCAAAATATGACATCAACTATCGGTGTAAAAAGAATCATGGTGTAATGCTTTTATGTTCTTTAAATAATGGCAAATTCTATGGTGGACATAAGGTCTCCCATTGACTTGCATTTGAGCAAAATAAATACTCCCTCTGTCCCAAATTATAATGCATGTTCACTATTCACAGGGTCAAACTTCATTCACTTTCTTTCTCTATTTTCGTTAGAAATTTGATAAAATAAAGTACTGTTGTCACTACTAGTTTTGTATATCTTTTGATGTAGTATTTTGATATGTAATTTTTATGTTTTAACTCTATACCATATGTTATATAAAATGATTTGAAAATAATTTCAGTCAAACATCGTACACCGAAACAGACGTTATAAAATGGGACGGAGGGAGTACTTTTTTATTGCTTAAATAAGCATCTGCTTTTTTTAATTAAAAAAACAAAAAAAAGATTTATTACGTGAGAAGGTCTACAAAAATAATTTGCATCCAAGGTGCACCATAGAAGCACTCTTAAATAATACTTCCTCTGTCCCAATTTTGATTACAAATTAAAAATTACGAGGCAAAATATCATGACTTTTGAAATCATTATATTTGCAAACTGTTATATCAATAAAAAATAAAAATGACATATTAAAAACTATGTCAAAAGTTCTACAAAACAAGAGGTGACAAGAATAGTTTATTTTATCAAATACTCCGTAATCAATAAAAATAAATAAATAAATAAAAGTTATCGAAGGAGAGAGAAAAAAATTGTAATCAAAATTAAGGCGGACGGAGTGGCTCAAAAAAACTACGGAGTAACTCGTAATAATTCGTTTAATAAATATGATAATCAAGTTCTTTCAAAAATATGTGTAATATGCAATGTGAATAACTAATTACTCCGAATGAACAACAAATTCAGAGAGGAAGAGTACGTAACTATCTGAAGAACATGCAAATTAAAGCGTTATATGGATAGTTATTTAATAATGCAGATTAACTTTGAGAGTATTTAAATTAAGCCGCATAAGAGCGGGAAAAAAGTTATCGAAAGAGAGAGAAAAGAATTGTAATCAAAATTGAGATGGGGAGTATAAACTATGGAGCTGAGTGGGAAAGAAAATATAGACTACAGAGTAACTCGTAATAATTCGTTTAATATAAATGAAAATCAAGTTCTTTCAAATTGTGAGTAAGCGTTATATGGATAATTGTTTAATAGAGCATATTAACTTTGAAAATATTAAAATTAAGCGGCATAAGCGATGTGATTAGAGAGTTTTTCCAAGTGATAAAGCGAAACGCTGAATCTGTTACCAAACGGACCCTAAATACAGCATCAAAGTAAATAATACCGAGTAATAATTTTTTTATAAAATAATAATAATAGAAACCTGGCAAATGTTCAGGATGGGTGCAGCAAATGCCATCATCTCCATGAAGGGTGTGGATGAAGTCATCAATGAGAGGGTGAGCATCCAAACGGACCTTAGACTCCAAATGCTGAAGAATCTCTTGATCGTTTGGGTCGAACTTCACCCCCGCCGGCAAACCCCCCGGCAGCTCACGAATCCTCCGGCCACCGCCGCCCTTTGTTTTCCCCTCCTCCTCCTCCCACTCCGTCGCCGGACGACCGCATGAAGGGCAACCCCTCATTTTCCCCCACCGCCCTTGTTTTCCCTTACTTGCTTCAAAATGAATGAATGAAGTCCTATACTATACTATACCCCGGGGCAGGAATTGAAGAAGGCTTATTTGGAAAGGGAAGGGAAATATAAATAAAAGACGATAACTATTATTTGTCCCTTTGAAAGCACGCACGTTGTCCCTTGTTGTTCACGGTGGGGAAGGTATTGAATTCTTCCTCTCTTTCCAAGGTTTCATATTAATACTCCCTTCCTCTCTTTACCCTTATTTTCTTTTATTCCACCTATCACATCCCACTTTTTTCACTGAGAATCTATCAATCATATCTTACTTTTACTCATCACATCAATGGCAAAATTGAAAATTCAACCATAAACATATACTCCTTATTTTGGCCTAAAGTCAAAATATGAGTGGTTTTAAAAAATTTGCACCCAAGGTACACCATAGAAGTACTCTTAATTCTTAAATAATACTTCCTCCGTTCTAATTTTCATTACAAATTAGAAATTACGAGGTAAAATCTCATGACTTTTGAAATCATTTTATTTACAAATTGTTACATCAATAAAAAATTAAAATGACATGTAAAAAAACTACATCAAAAGTTCTATAAAATAAAAGGTGACAATAATAGTTTATTTTATCAAATAATCAATGAAAATATAAAAATAAATAGAAGTTATATATCAAAAGAGAGAAAAAAATTGTAATAAAAATTAAGACGGGAAAGTACTAACTACGGAGCGCCTCAAGAAAAATACGGAGTAACTCGTAATAATTCGTTTAATAAATATGATAATCAAGTTCTTTCAAAATTATGAGTAATATGCCATATGAATAACTAATTACTCCGAATCTGATTTATTTATCGCCAATAAAAATCAACAAATTCAGAGGGGAAGAGTACGTAACTATCTAAAGAACATGCAAATTATATGTCCTTCCTTGGGCTTGAATATTTTTTATTGACATTTTTAAAAAACTCTTGAATATTGTTTTTTGGACATTAAATTTTGGGTCTTTTTTAAACTTGAATCTTTGAAAAGATTGTGAGTCGTACTTGGCGTATCATCTTTTAGTTCTCTTTGTAGATCTCGACCCACAAAATTCTTCAATTCATTCTAATCATGCTAACTTTTGTATTAGGACTAGCTATCTTGAGGCTAATTTTGTACAAACGGTAATTCCACCTTGTCACCTTCATCATAAGCTTACTTGTATCATCATTAATGGTTAGCAAATCATATTTCATGTGAATGTCGCATCTCTTAAGTTGCTTGACCAAGACTTATGATCGGTGTTGCTTTGTTGACTCGGTATATAGTCAACATCTGTCAACAGCCCATTGCTCCCCCGTTTTATCTTCAGGTAATATTAATCTCTTTCCTTGTATGTCAATACAAAATCCATCTCCAAAATTCACTTTTCTCATGACATGTTCATTATGTTCGAAGAAGTAAGCTTGATTACCCGTCATGTGATTCGATGCTCTATTATCGAGATACCAAGTGTCTTTCTCTACTGGCTCGGTCTTGAAATGCTTCGGAATCACCCTTTATTCAATTAGAAATAGCGTCTCTTGATCACATCTCACCATAAAGAAAGATGGAACCCTTTATTTAAATTAGCCCTTCCTATTTCTTCATACGCTTCTAACACATTGATGCGAATTGAAATGATCAAATCTATCACAACGATTTCTATTAACACGTAATCTATCCTTTCTTCGCTTTGACGATCATAGGTTCTTCTTTGACCTATGATCTTGACTATCTCGGCTTTGACTTTAATCGTGGTCCTCTTCATCCCGATCTTGTTCTCTTCCTCGATCTTTGTTGCCTGCCTCGGCATTGTCCTCTCGATATGTTTTCTCTGCTTTGAGAATTAGAGCTTTAACCGTTCAAGAAAAACAATTTACATTGTGTTTTCATGTCTTCTTCCTTGATTCGTTCTTCGTAGGCTTTCAATTGTTCTATGTTTCTAAGAACCCTATTTTATTCAAATCTAAGACTTGCTCTAACGAGGTGGCTATATTTATGTATTTAAAATAAGAAAGAGCTTTTAGACTCTTCTTTACCATCCTTTTCTCTTCGATCTCTTCTCTTAGGGCCATGAATTTTGAGGCCAAATGGGGGATAGGATATTGAGATTGCGACTTGCAAGCCGCATGGAATGCACTTGTATGGTTCCTTGCGATCCGCCAAACCTACATTAATCTTCATTCAACCTTCAGGGGGTGGGCCATTAGCGGGGCTCATTGACGGAGTTGAAGTAATAATTGTAGATTTATGCCATTCCGAGAGGCGATACCACGCTACGAAATGATGTCGTTCCGGGACAGGTTTTAGCGTGGTATCGCTTCTCTGAATGGCAGAAATCTACATCTATTACTTCAGCCCCGTCACTGGGGCCCCGTTCATACCATACAGTAAAATATCCCTTACCTTCTTCATCCTCTCTGCCATATGGAAATCCCGGAACAACATCGTTTCGCGGTTGCAGCGCAGCTTAATGTGGACACTTGCGTGAACTAAAGGTTGTTTAAACATTACACAAGTGACATTTGCTTGAACTAAGCGTAAAATGCACTGTAGCTACATGTCTTTTTTACACACCTGCTAACATCTAAAGGTTAATTTGGGATAAAGAGATCTCTCTACGTATATGCTACTCTTTGCGTCTCTAATGGTAAACCATATCAATATAAATGCGCCCAGGTTATTGAAAATATTATCGGCTATGGACCTGAGGCACACCAGTTTATTTATACAATTAAAACAACAAAAAAAGATTGAGCCACAGAGGATTTCTTTTTAATTAATATACAACAACAACAAACAAGAAAAAGAAGTAATACTAATGGAATTCATTCCAACACAATCAGTGCCTTATGTCATCATTTTCATTCTTTAACCTTTCTATATTATCTCCTTTCAGAGTCTCTTCTCTTTCTTGTTCTTCATCCTTTTCTTCAGACTTCTGTCTACCATATCTAATTACTGCAATGCAGATGAATGCTGCAGAAAGATCAACGAAATTTCAGACTTACCCTTTTTTCTACTTTACGTCGGAAAGAAAAATAGAAAAAAAAAATCAACTTGGGAGGCGTAAATTTACCGGCAAAAATGCGGGTTCTAGCAGTGCTAAGATTCCAAAAGGCAGTCAATGCTGATGCTGCTATAGTTTTCTTGTGGGAGCAACCTCCCCATCTCTCAATGGCCCGATACTTTAAGCTCTCAACTGTTGATTTTAGTGTTATGTGTACAAACAGTTGTGCGTAAAGAGACTGTGGTTACTACTAAGGGGGCAATATAAATCATTTTAATACCTTTTCTACATATTAGGCTGGAGTATGAAGAATACAATTTTGGGACAGTGAAGCTGATGAAAAACCCTGTCAAAGCAGCATAATAAATATACAAAACCAAATGAAAAGGAGATCGAAAATGAAACCTTGGGTTGACTGAAATAGAAGAGCAAGTTTAACAATGCAAATAAAGTTCACACTACCTATAGTATTACCTCATATGGAAATGTGAACTTAATTAGGAAAAATATTTAAGATTGATTGCTAAGGTGACAAGTTAACTTTATGGGAAATTGACAATTATAGGTATGATTATCATTTACTACCTATAGTATTACTTAATATGAAAGTGTGAAGTTAAGTTTGAAAATCCTAAAAAAGAAATAAAGAACTTAATGGGGATGGATAAAACATTGTTTAGGACTCTAGTAATGTAATAGTCATTTACTGCCAAAGATCTTGTGATCTAGCGGCATAACTGTTGCTCTCCCAAATGTGAGGTCTCAAGTTCAAATCCCAGTGGAGCATTGACTTTTTATGCTTCAGTAGCTTGAGAAAGTTCATACGGACTGCTACTACATTATAATAAAGTTAATACTACTAAAAAAAATAGTCACTTACCAAATGCGCATAGCCTCCACAGAGATAGCAGATGGCCGCACTCAGCTCCAACAATCAGGAATGGTACTACCTAAACCACCCCAAAAGAAGTAGAGAGTGCCATTCTCAGTTTAAATTTTGACCTATTTCATTATACTCTACAAGTAATCAAATGTGGAGTACTTTTTAACAATGATAAGTATGCAACATTTACCTTGAGGGTCATGCCCGGCTCTCCAGAAAATAATTCTCTTGTCTTCAAAATTACAAGATTTACTGTGGGAAGTATCAACCTGCCAAATCTCTGAATATCTTCTTCTTTAAGCCGGATATCCAGCTTACCTTCAACACTGTATCTGAACATACATCATTTGTGCCATATTTAGTGAAAACGTAAAAAGGAAACCAAATAACGTAAGCAGTATTCTTGAAGATAGCCCTACCTCGGCCGAAATGAATTCAAGAAAAATGATACCACCAAAAGCAGCAGACCAACGTGAGACATGAGGGAGACAATACTGCAACAAAAATGTTAGAATGTTTCAATAAGTGTAGGCCTATTTGATATAAAAAGTAATTGGCAATTTTCGGAATCTAGATAATACGTAGCAAGTCTTTAAAATTTTTCAATTTCGATATGAATTTTAAATTTAAAGAAGATTTGAATTGGCCAACTCTTTTGACAACTAAATATCAATTAAGTAAGACTGTTCATGAGACTAAAATGTTCCAGTAAAATGAAATTTTGACTAAAAAACTGATCACATTCATAGCGTTTATGACCAAATAAACGAGAACTAGAGAATCGACTACAAATTCAAATTGATTCTTTTGACTACTAAATATCAATTAAGTAAGACTGTTGATGAGACTCAAATGTTCCAGTAAAATGAAATTTTGACTATAAAATTGATCAAATTCATAGCGTTTATGACCAAATGAACGAGAACTAAAGAATCGACTACATTTCAAAAATCACCCAAAGAGATGAACTTTGTAATAATCAGACAATAATGGAAGGTATGGGTATCAAGAATTGGGGCAGGCATACCTAATGGTAACTCCATTGGAAAAACAAGATGATAAGAAGCAGAGAGACCCAAACCCAAACAAGAGACTTGATCTTGCTACATCCCTCCACATCACCAAATCATTTATCTGCTCCCCAATTCTATCAAGGTTAACCCCTTCAGCTTCTTCCATTGGTTCTACACACACATTGGATTTAAAAAAAATCAGCAACAACAAAATGCAAAAATGAAGAAGAAAAAAAGATGTTCATCGAAGGAAAAGTGAGCGAACTTGGAGACGGTACTGGAACTAAGCCAAGCTTGTCTTTCTTATATCTCCCACTGTGCCTCTTCTTTCTTGGTTTAAGACCCTCTTCTCCCCCCAAATTTCTCTCTTCCTTCATCAATTCAAGATCTAACCTCCTTCTCGATCTCCGGTGAATTCTCGGAGAAGCACACCCCAATCCCCCTCCTGCTGCATTCCGACTCCTGGATCTCCTCCCACCCCCGCTAATAACCTCCACGCCATCTTCAGCCACTCCGAGCTTCTCCGCCGACAGGATCTTCTCCCTGCGAGCAATAGAAGGAGACAGAAGAAGGATATCTCGGATCGGGAGGCTATCTGGTGGCTTCGGAGACGAAGCTGGAGGTGAGGGCGAGGGGACAATAGTTAGGGTTTCAGAATCCGGGTGGTCGAAGAACTGGAGCTTAGATAGTCTTGAAGATGATTTCAATCTGCTTGAACGACTAGACTGAGGGGTGATGTTCATGGCTGGGCTCTGGCTGGGATTTGCAGAGTATGAATTTCTGGGGAAAGAGGAAGAACCGTTGGAAGGAATAGTGGAATTTGAATTTCTTTCAGGTCGATTCAATTCGGGTCATTTCTTAATGGGCCTTCTTCTTGTGAGTGGTGGTTTGTGTGAATATATTATGGACGCCCTTTCTAACGGTAGGAGACAAGTCCGTTTTAGTATCTTTTGACTATTGCGGGTTTGTGTAGACTGTAGAGTGATAGTTGGAAGGAGAAAAAAGAAAAAAAAAAATAAAGAAAGAATGTGAGGTAAAGTAAGGTTGTAAAACAAACAAATAATTTTGATTCGATTCGTGATTCATATTCGAAATTAATAATTCGTATTCGGAAAAATGAGTACAAATAAAAATATAAATATTTATTAAAATTCGAAAGAAAACGAACATGAATACGATGGTGTATGGATTCGATTCGATATGTTAACGAATATATTCAAATATAAATATAAAAATTTATATCCAATATAGTGCTTAATAAAAATTACAAAGTACTCCACATTTTGTTTTTTTAATGTCGTACTCTATAGTTGATACTTGATAGTACACATTAAGCTTTTGGGCACCATGTAAAAAAAGTACTTACATTGATATATGAAATATTTGCACTAAATAGCACTAAAATTTAGCATTTAAATTATTTTATTTCTTAAATAGGACTGAATAATAATGTCCAGTGATAACGAACATTTACTTGAATAATGACTAATAGATAATGACTAAAAGTGTTACATTTGAAAAAAAAACACATGTGATGTTATTTAGGGAAAGTCTTTATGTTTTAGTGCTATTTATGTAAATTCCCCATTAATATTGACACAATATATGTTTATTTTATATGGAGTAGCATGTTTTTTATATTTTGTGTTATCCATTGCAACGGTAGGTGCTAATGTGATGGCATGTACGGTTGATGGCTAATGACAGATGAGAGTGGGACGCCACTCTTTAGATGGCAGTGTGATGTGGTGGTTTGTGATTCCGATGGCATTATGGAAAATCGACAGCATTTTGTAGTAGATGGAAGCATGACTTTAGATATCAGTGTGGCGGCGGTCGGCGGCACACGACGGGCGACGGTTGGCATTGCCCCCATTTTGCTTGGCACTATTAAGGGAATCACTTTTGCTTTCTTTTTGTCTGGCTACTAAGATGTTAGAGTTTGCCAGGTTAGTTTCTTGCCTGCCAGGTTGTTTATGGCACCTAAAGTGCTACTGAATAGATGATGGACAATATTTTTTAATTTATTCTTTCCCTTTCTAAAATTGTAAATAGATTTTTTCTGAAATATTGTAAAGGGAATTTTGTATTAGAATTTCAAAAAAATGGTATAAATGTTCAAATTATTAAGTTTAACTCCTATTTAAGTTTTAAACTACTGCTGCTCTAATTGACAAATTATATGGTTCAACTAGGTGTAACTTTCTCTTGATGCATCGGCAAACTTAAAACTAAAAATAGAATTTTAGGATGAACACTAATTTTAGAATGAATCATTTGTTGTGTCAGAATGAACATGTTTCTAAATGAACACTACGTTAGTTCAGAATTAATACTATGCTAAGCAGGCTTTAGAATGAGCACTATGGTTTAAAATGAACATTTTGTTGATTCAGCATGAATATTTGCCGGGTGTACCTAGCTATACATATAGCCATGTGTACGGTATACATTCTCGCTCTGATTTAGGTCTTTTGATACTTTTCAGTATTCCATTCTTCAATTAATGTTGTTTATCTTTGAGTTGAAAAATATGGACCCTTACACTATATTTGGTTCAAGAAATTTGGAAGGAAAAGAAAACAAAATTATTTTCTCTCATTTTCCTCGCAAAAATAGGAGGAATTTGGTTTTCCCTCCACTTAGTACATTTTACCTTCTCATTTTGTCTTCCTTCCACTTTCTTTTTTTCATCTCTAACCAAACAAGAAAAAGTACTTTCCACTTCATTTTCTTTTCTTTTCTCTTTCAAATCCATTGAACCAAATATAATGTTAAAGAATTCGAGTCCATATACCTACTGATGGGATAATACCTCTGGACCTGTAAGATATTTGACCCAATCAATTAAAAAACCTATTATGGAAAACCCAACCATATGCTTCTATTCTAAAGTAAGAGGGTGTTTGAGAGTGCTGTGAGTTATGTAAAAGTAGAAGTCATAATTTAGAAGCAGAAAGTATGTATTTTTAACTTTGCTAGAAAGTACTTCTAGACCTTAATTTTATCTTTTAAAGTCATAATTTATAAGCTAAAGCAGATTAGCAAACATTTAAATGTGTTTTAGTAAAGTAGAAGGCTATAAGTTATTTTCAAATGTAATCCCAAACACCCTCTAAATAACGCATCAAGCAATGGAGAAAGGTGATCTTCTTCTACGATCTACAAACCATCTCTCTCATATTTATCATCTTTCCTAGAGCGTCAAGCTTCATCAATGGTTGTTGTGCCGACAAGTTGTACAAATAGTCCCCTGATCAATAATAAAACATCTACTTGGCATGATACCGCCTAAAAATTCTCGTGATTTTCTCCGATTAAGGTTTCCATGTAAACAGCATGTGTTCTTCATATCATCCATATTGATTATATTATTACTCTATATTATTTGGTATGTAATTTGGGAGAAGGACCAAACTAGGAGTAAAACATATTCAATATCCTTAAAGTAGGAGTTCAAACTTAAACTCCTCTAAATAGGAGTAATTGACTTATTAATCAAATCTCCTTCCTAAAGCCAAAAAAATCTTATCTTCTTCCTCCTCACTTTCGAGTACATAGAGCAGAGCACATTTCCTTCTTTTTTTATCAAGCTAGCTCCTCTAGTCTTTTGCTTTCATTTTCTCTTATCCGATCCCTACATCCTCACCTCCAAAACTAAAAAAAATCGGCTAACTCCACACCAAATTGGTGCCAATGGCGACGCCCACTACCACCATCGTCGTCCCTGCACCCTTGCCACTATCACTTGAATCTCCGTTGCCGCCGCCTGCTATATATTAAAACCTATCATTGTCATTGTTGATTTTTCACCGTCACCACCGATGATATCACCACTCTCTACCATTATCAGCGACACTACCATCACAATCTACATGTACCATCATCACCGTAGTGCCACATTAACTGTCAATACAGTGTCAAAAAAGACCTAATGCCAAACATGGAACCGCATAATGTCACACATGACACATGAGAATATATAATGCTACATATGACAATGCATAATGCAATGCATACTAATAAACACACCTATGTATGATGTGAAAATTCAGATTTAAATAACTAAAAAAACTGGAGCAAAAATTAGAGTAAACAATCGAAAGAGCACAGCTGGAAGAATCAAATTCCCAACAATTTTACAAAATATTTTTCAAAAAAGCAAAACATTGAAATCCAAAAACTAATTTTGCCTAAAAGAATTAGAACCGTTGAAGAAGGGGATGGACGAATCTTTGACGACGGTAAATTGGCGTTGAACACTGTAATTGGATGGGAATCTTTGAAGGTGGCAGCGGTGGCGGCGCAATGAAGATGACATGGGGCAGGTGGCGGTGGCATTGGCAGTGGCGGCAAGAGATCGGAGATGGAGCGCATGTGTCAGGAAGGAGGCTAGTGGCGGAAGGAGATCGAAGATGGAGCGCATGTGTCAAGAAGGAGGCTGGGCGTTAATTTCGCTTGCAAAATGGTTGGGATGTGGTTTGTGCGGCCAAGATAACAAAATTTATTTAATTACTCCTACTGAGTTTAAGTTTGGACTCTTATTTTGAGTATATGATTTATGTTTTACTCCTATTTGGGGGGTTTTCTTATGTAACTTACATACCTTGCTAATTGAAGTCCATCACATACATTTGGATGTATAATATTTCTCATACTTGTTTGAGTGAAAAAATAGTCATTTCACATACTACCTCTGTCTCAGAGTATGTATCCTATTTTGACTTCTTACAATTAAAATCGATAAATTTTAAGAATTAATTAAATAAAATTTAAATTGGATAGTGATACAAAAATAACTTTATCAGATTTATCCTCTAAAATAATTTCAAAACATTATTATATTTGGAATATCTTGGAAGAATATAATAACATTTTGGAATAAAAGCCATCTGAAATAATAATAAACCATTACTCCATCCAATTAAACCATCCCAGGATTTTTCAAGTTATCACTACAGTGGGAAATTCCATAGCATCTGCTTTAAATAAAAAGCTCACTTAATCACTTTCTTTATTTTATTCAGAAGAAACAATAATAACTAACAACCCAACACTGTATAATCCCAACGACATTGAGATCAAGGGATGTATTAGTGCCCAAAACAACGTTGGATGCCACCACACTATTACATTATTCATTTGAAGAGCACACAGATGAGTCTCACTGCACTCTCATTAACTATTTTTTGGCATGCCTTTGACAAAAAGCTTGGAGCCTTCCAAGGCCATCCTCAAGAGACAATGGTTCAATTGCAAAAGATATACGCAGCCAATTCTTGAGCCCCACCCCGAATCCTGTGTGTTACGTTATTGCCACCAACGTTACGGTAATGTCATGGAATTGATTATCAATGTCATAGAATGACTCGGAAGTCCTACGGTGGTTCCCATGGCATTGATTATCAATGTCATGGAATGACTCAGGAGTCCTACGGTGCCCCGTCCGTAAAATTGACAATTCCCACCCTTCCCAACTCCCTAGCAACCCCCCACCCCGCCCCCGACACGAACCCCCCCCCCCCACCCCCCACTCCAAAGTTTATTTTACTTTGGAGTCAAAATTTTGACTCCAAAGTCAAATAAACTTGGATGGTGCAATTGAAGGGGATGGAGGGTGGGTTCGGGTCGGGGTGGGGTGGGGTTAAGAGGGGTAGGAACCACCAATTCTTTGTACAGAGCATCGTAGGTGTCTCGGGTCATGCTATGACATTGTTTGGTAATATCAGATCAACTGGGGTGCAATGAATAATGATAGATGAATACCATGCATATATATGGTACAAGGCTTAATTGCTTTGTCATATTTACCTGGGAAAATTATCACAGATTCCTCCTTGGCTAGCTTGAGACAAAAGTCAAAATCATCCACAATGTCTTCCAAGAGGTCCAAATTCAGTTTTACCTAGCAGGTTGATTTGGAAATGTTCATTTCAGAACATGCATTCTTTTTACCATGTAATTATTTAGAGTAAAAACATGAAAGATAACAACGCTAATCTTACCATTGCAAACATTGATCCTTCGGGTTTGCTTGGACACGTGATGCATCGGATCTCATTCGTTCTTTCGTAACATATGTTGGATGCTTCTCTAAGTACATTCAGAATTTTAGAGAAAAATTCTGGTTTTGTATTTAGAAGGATATCAGAGATTGCTCCCTGCAAATACCACAATTAAAAATAGTAACATTAGTTTTGGTGTATTAGTATTATTGCTTCAAATGAGTTAATTATGACTCATCTAACAAAATATAGTTAAAGATCATACAAACACAGAAACACAAAGTTAAAGAGAACAATGACTTACGAACCTGAATAAAGGTTGCAGGGTCACACGAAATATTGAGTAAACCGGCAATGCCATCTATAACCTGCTTATAGAAAGAAAGCATATTAAACTTTTGCTTGAGAAATCGCAGGGTCACATCCTTGTTATATATTTTAGTGTAATTGGAAAAACTACGACCAATGGTATCCTAATAATCATCAACGAAGTTTGGTGGTGCGGAGTGCACGCTTCGTTGAGTTTGTTACGATAAAAATCCCGTTACATCGGGGGTTCCAAGGGGGCAGCGCCCCCTTGGCGGGGGTTCGGGGGCAGCGCCCCCGAGCAGGGTTCAAGGGGCGGCAGCTCCTGCGGGGTCCAAGGGGCAGAGCCTTGGGTAAATGGCCGCGAATGGTGTCTTCTCATTCTCAGCCCAAGTCTATAAATTCCCGCGAGGCATGGTCGAATTTCGTTCGGATTTTTCATAGCAATTCTCATATTTTCGTTCTTGATACTTTCGAGTTTTATCCGATTGAATTTTGGAGTGAACAACCAAAATATTCAATCTGAAAGTGTTTACACAACTCTCGATTCATCCAAGTTATCGTTAATTTCTCCAACAATCCTTAGAGAATTTTTAACCATCATGCCTGAAAATGTTATCCAGGGGCCGGGTTTTTAAGTAAGGAACATGAACTCTTGTGGTATGATTCTTTGACATGTTATCAGAGCTTTGAAGACCTAGAGGTCACGTTTTCAAAATCATACCCCCATTCAGATGTAAAATATTTCGTGATCTTGCAACCAGAAGCTCAAGTTTGGGTCGAGTTGCTTTCTTGACAAAAATATTCATAAATTTTTTATACAGATTCTTTTTCCTTTCTCTAAATACCTAACATATATATGTATAATTCAATGTTAACTCTAAAAACCCTCATGTCTAGGCTATTTGTGATAGGGAGAATTGAAGGGAAGGAAAGAAAATACCCCTTCTTCCTTAAGGATTCCATTGGTATCATTGACAACAAGCCAACCAAGTTTCCAGCCTGGTACAATCCACCTCTTTGAAATCGACCCAAGAGTAATAACCGGAACGATTGATCCGAAAACTCCCATGGGCACAAACGGGTTGTCTCCGAAAGCAAGGTGGCCATAAACTTCATCAGCAACTACAAGAATCCCAAGCTTTCTTGCAGTCTCTGCAATCTAAAATGAACAAAACATGTAGGGTACGTTTACACAACTTGGATCACACTAAAACGTAACGTAACATAATTAAGTAGACAGGGACGCGTGTACCTTCTTCAAGTGTTGGTATTTGAAGACATTCCCACAGGGATTACCGGGGTTGATGATGACAATCGCAACGGTGTTTTCATCTGCGAGAGCTTCAACAGAAACAAGGTCCACTTCCCAATCATGATCTGGAAGAAGATCAAAGTAGCGAACTTGCAGATTTGAATGTGCAGCCCGGGCTTCATAGTAAGGGAAGCCTGGCCTTGGAAGTAAAATGTTGGCATTCGGGCGGGCGAGAACGGGTAGAATGACTTCTATTGCTTGGGAGCATCCAACTGTAAGGTAAACATCTTCTTCTGATAGCTCATATGGCAGGTCCTTTGACAGGTACTCAGCAACTGCCCTACTCATTCACCATCCATTTATCAAATATTGGTATATGAAAGGGTTCGTTGGACTAAACCCACACTCTAGAGGCTTAAATCCACACCCCTAGCTTGCCTAAATCCATATCATAAATGGGCAGAAAGACATTTATATGAAACCCATACTACAAATGGCAACTATGAAAATTAATTTGGATGAAGCGGTACAAATTTTTCTGTCGTATAGGAAAACTAGGATCATCTTTTCCAACACAATTATTGAAAATTAAAATTATAAGTTGTTACTACTCTGTTTTTAATGTATACATTTATATTTTCATATAAAATTTTAAGAAAATTACTACTCGTTTTTACTAAATGTTATAAAATTAGAATTATAAGTATATTTATTTTCTTACCACTCGTTTTTAATGTATAAATTTATATTTTCATACAACATTTTATTGGTATCCCATAATTATCTTACTTGTTTCAAAATTTCTGCATATTTAATTTTTTCTAATTTTTTTGATTAATCAAAGAACCCAAATAAAAATATAAAAAAAATTAAAACTCTAAAATTTAAAACTAAAAATTTAAAAATAAAAATTAAAATTAAAATCTAAAATTTGAAATTTGAGAATTAAAATTAAAAATTTAAATTTTAGAAATTAAAAATAGAAAAATAAAAATTAGCAAAAATATTAAAATTTTTAATTTGAAATTTTAGATTGAAAACGTAAAACAATTTAAAACTAAAATTATAAATTAAATATTTGAAATTTGAAATCTAATATTAAAAACTAAAAATTTAAAATTTAAGATTAAAATTTTAGAATTTAAAACTTTAAGTTTAAAAATTAAAAATTCTAATTTAAATTTTTATTAAAAAATTACAGAGTAGATATAAAAAAAATTCAATATTTATAGCTTAAAATTGAAAATTTAAACTTAAAAATTTTAAAAATAAAATAAAAAATTTAACTTAAAAATTATTAACTAAAAATATGAAAATTAAATAAATATAAAAAATAAATATTTAAAAATTTAAAATGAAAAAAATTAATTTTTATTTTTAAAAGTTAAAATTAAAAATTTAAAATTAAAAAATTAGGATTTAATTGTTAAAACTTAAAATTTTAAAATTAAAAGTTCTGGCAACACATCATGTTGGTGAAACTAGCTAAACTCATTAGTCCTTCAAAACAGCTGAGATTGATAACCTACGACCAACTTCTGAAAGTTCAAAATAAAATTCTATATAACTTCTATATACCATATTGGATGTATTACAAAACAAAGGATTTGAAATTATAATACAATTATATATCAATTTCTTAATTATACCATACAAATAATTTGGAATTAAAATAGAACTCAGTTCCATACAATTCAATTCTATTGAATTTCAATTCCAATTTCGTGTACCAAATATTTAGTACCTGAAATTGGCAGAATTGGAATTGAACTGGAAGTTGAAATTGTATGAAATTGATTTGGATGGAATTGAATTCTCCCATTCCAAATTTATTTTTGGCAGTACCAATTTCAAATCCACATATTTTTGTGCTACCAAACAGTAAAATTGGAATTGTTGTCCTTAATTTTAATTGTATAGTTTAAATTTCGTGTACCAAACAAAGCCTAACACTATGTTTGGTTCAAAAAATTTAAGAAGGAAAGGAAAAGAAAATTAGAAGAAAAACATTTTGCTTATTTGGTTAGATAGGAAAAGAAAATAAAAAGACAAAATATATTAAGAGGAGGAAAAACTAAATTTTTCCATTTTGGTGAGGAAAGTGGAGGAAAATCATTTCTTTTCTTTCCTTTCCAAATTCTTGAACCAAACATAGTGTAAAGGTTTTCATATGTTTCAATCATATTTTAGTTGTTTTCATTATTCTATTCATTAAACGAAACAATCACGTTTATAATTTCCAATTTGTTAGGCCCTATTTGGGATCAGCGTTAAATTAGTTTTAAATGTTTTGAAAAGGTTAATTAACGGTAACTTGTACCTTAATCTAATTTACCTAAAATTCACGTTTACAATTTCCAATTCGTTGGTCTAATGATTCCACTTAAATCAAAATGAATAAGTTTGGAAGCAATAACATTTCCGCAAATGATGTCAAGCAAAGCTGGAAATAAAAAAAAAATTGAAAAAAAAAAAGAATGAGAGAGAGAGAGAGAGAGAGATTAATTTACTGTCTAGCGGGAAGCAGGCCAGAGGCATGGGCATAACCGTTGAAGTTAGCCGAGTAAACGGCGTCGGAGACGGCGGTTTCAGCTTGGGACGTCGTACGGAAGGAAGGAAAAGGCGACGGGTCGCCGTGGCCGAGAGGGATTACGGGTCTCGGGTCAACCGGGTCGAGATTTTTCATCAGGGAACCGAGAATCCCTCTGACGCTGATTGAAGAGGCCGATAAAACCTCCTCGTTCCGTCGGAACCCCCACCTCCGCCGTGACCCGCCGCCATTTTCCATCGCCGGCGCCCTTCTCACTGATGTGTGTATGGGGAGGAGCGAGGGGGCACAGTATATTTATTCTTTAATTAATATTGCGTTTGGAAAAAAATCAGAAAATTATTTATTCTTTCTCCAAAAAAATTATGAGGGATATGCTAGGGGTACATCAAAGGTGTACCCCAAATGTACAACACTTGCCTCTACACCATTCATTTTATTTTCTTTTTATTTTTTATTTTTTTTTTGAAATTTTTTTGCCTTTTTTGTGTGGTGATGGAGGGAGTGGGGATGTTTGAGGTATACTTTTGGTGTACCACTAGCATTTTCCAAAAAATTATTTATTCTTTAAATGATAATGCATGGAAAAAAATTGGTGACTGTCTCTTGCATAGGATGTGACGTGGGAGAGGTAGTTCGTGCTGTCAGAGTCTCAGTTGTTTTTGTCGTGGGATGTGACATCCCATTTGAGCTGTGTTTGGTTGGGTTCTTCGATAAAATTGCAATCGTCCGTTCCAATTTGGTATGGTGCGTCCTGGCATTTCATGAAGGACTCGCAACACTTTTTTTTAGGTTTGTTCTTTTTTAGTAGAAAAGTATGATTTTAAAACTCTTTAAGGCATGTTTCCCTGACGTTTGGAGATAGATAAGATATGAGTTATGAAATATGAGAAAAAATGATATGGGTTTTGAAATATGAAACAAATTGTTTAGAAAAATGTAAAATTATGATTTAATTACTGATAAGCATGGTGACCAGCAACGGGATAGTTAGCGGTGACAATGGTAGCCAATGATGGAGAAGATCAATGGTTGAAAGAGATATCAAACCCTCATATTAATGATATTTTTTCAATTTGGGAGATATTGAAACCCTCTATTTGAAAGATTTATCAAATCTGAAGATATCGAAGTCGATATCTCTTTTCACTTCACCAAACACCCAAAAAGAAATTTCATATCGGGAGATATCAAAACTCATATCTTATTTACTCACCAAACACGCCCTTAATTATTTTTAATTTTTTTAACTCTTACCCATTTTTTTTAATTCTTTTCAATTCTTTCTAATTTATTTCAATTTATGTTCATTCTTTCTATATTTTTTAATTCTACCAGCTCCTTCCAAAAATGATTTTTAAAAAATTTATGTGCATTTTCTGTATATTATTCTCATTACATTTATTATTATTATTATTATTATTATTATTATTATTATTATTATTATTATTATTATTATTATTATTATTACTATTATTATTATTATTACTACTACTACTACCACTATCACTATTGCAACTAAAATAAAATAAAAATTGAAATAAATAAAACAACTTTTTCTCCCTTTGTCCTAAAATCATCTTCCCAGTTACCATTCACATGCTCAAACTTAAATCACTTTCTTTACCTATTTTCGTTAGTTATTTGATAAAATAATAGTCTTGTCACCTCTTGTTTTGTAGAACTTTTGATAGAGTTTTTATAATATATAAATTTTATTTTTTAAGTTTACACGTACAATCAAATAAATTGAATTGAAAATAAAATCGGTCAAACCTCGTAAATAAATTTTTTTTAATCAGGGAGTATTAAAATGATTTCATCTGTTTTTGGTGAATGGGTTGGTATGCAAATTAGTAAATACCGAGTACAAAGTTTTACTGTATCAAGTCAAAAATAGTCAAGAACACGTTTTATTAAAATAATGAGTCAAAAAAGTATGGAGTATAAATTTACATATGGTTTGAAAGAAAAATAGTACTCCGTATAATATACTCCGTAGAATATATGGAAAAACTAAAAATAGATAATTGAGATTAATAAAGTTTACATACTCATTCATCCCCCAATTAAAGTCCTCATTTAATTTTACTTCAAACATAGTAAGGCAAAGTTAAAAATGACATTAATTTGTCTATTTTACCCTCGATATAAATGTGATTGAAATATAAGAAAAAGTGTAAAAAGTGATTGAAGGATGTAAAGAACTTTTGAAGTAGTTTTTTAATATATAATTTTTATATTTTATTGATATACCAATTTTTAAATAAAATGATTTCAAAAAATAAAAATTTTACTCCGGGGTACTTCGTAACCAGTAATTTGTAATCAAATTGAGGACGGAGGGAGTAAAAGATAAGAATGAGAGAAATCTGGCAATATGCTATGTATTGAATAAGAAAAATGCTAGGGGTACACCAAAGGTGTACCCCATATGTCCCACATCCCCTCCTTGTCCACTAAAAAAGGCAAAAAAATTTAAAAAAATAAGTAAATAAAAATCAAATAAAAATGTGTGGTGGAGAAGGAGGTGGTGTACATTTGGGGTACATCTTTTGATGTACCCCTAGCATTGCTCATTGAATAAAAATTTCGAATCTCCTCCCTTAACATGAGTAGGGATGGCAATGGGTCGGGTTCGGTTCGGATATACCTTCACCCGAAACCGACCCGAAACACAGATCGGTCATTTTTTTTGCCTGAATTCGAACCGTCGGGTCGGATTTGCTACCCAAACCCGAACCGGACTATGCAAACCGAGGCCTGATACCGCAACCGACCCGACTAACCCGACCGAGCCGCCCGACCCGACCGACCCGAAAACCTGACTAGCCTGCCTGACCATTACCAGTTTAAATGTCCAAACATATCAGTGTTTTTCTGATTTTTTAAGAAGTAGAATAAAAGAACAAATACATGCAATGGTTCAATTACAATGCAAATGCTTAAAAAGATTTCACATTTTAAGACACCATAATGTTAATATATTTATAATAAATGTCTTAATAATAGTCAAAACATGTGAATATATTTTAGGGAATATTTTCATCTTGTGCCACACAAGATTTCACCCCAATAGAAATACATAAAAATATAACAAAGTTACACAAATGGAAATATATAAGAATTAACGTTAAAAGAAATTTTAAATGGAAATATATAAGAATTAACTATTTATCTACTAAAAAATACCTCTTCTGTGATCTTTTCCTGGACATCTTCATCAACTAAAATGCTTGAACATTCCAAAGCATTATCCTTACATGCATAGTTAGTTATATACGCCAAAAGTTTAATACGGAAATACGTATGTACGTGTATAATACGTTAAAAATTTATAAAATACGTCTTATGATATGTTTCATACGTACAAAACGTGCGTACGCATACGTACGTGTATTATACGTTTCCTAATTATAAAATACGTCTTATACTATGCACATATTTATTCACAAAAAAATTAATAATAAAGTTTTATTTTTTAGTTGTTAGTACGAAATTTAACTTTATAATCCAAAACAGTAAAGTGCGAGCATACAATCTTTATGTCAATAAAAAATAAAGTCTTAATCCAACAAATGTTCAAAATGAAAAGTAGGATAGAAAATCTAGAGCAACTACAAAATTATTCTAAAATACCAAAATCAGCAAAAACATCATCATCATCATCATTGACATAAGTCTCACAAAATTCTAGAAGTCCAGCATCATCCATACCATTGTCAATGTTAGGATCTTCCATTGAATTCTCACAAGCCTCATTGTTTTCATTACCATTAAGAATATGAGAGTATGACTCTACCTCTCCATAATCAGGCCATTCTCTCAACTTGCTCAAATCAATTGGATTGGAATCTTTAATCATCTTTTCCTCAGCATTTTGCATCATGAGTGTGTTCATCCTACAGTACACAAGAAGACCTAGCATGCCTGGGGTGAGTCGATTCCTTTTCTTTGTTTGAGTAGCTTCAAAGGCACTCCAGTTACGCTCACATGCAGATGAACTACAAGGCTGACTCAAAAGACGAATGGCATATTTTTGAAGTACTGGTTGAGAGTCACCACAAAATTCCCACCAAATACCTGGTAAGAAACATATATAATGAATAAATGATTAAAAATAAGAATAATGTAAATGCTCATTAGTCATTAGTAAGAGCAGTACCAAATGCGATGCATCAATTAATGCTAAATACTTTTTTTCAATGCGAATTTCAAAGAAAAATAATATTGAAGTTAATCTATATAACTTTATTCAAGATTTAAAAAATAGTAATACAAGCAATTAAGTACACCATGAGAAGAATGCTTCATAATATAATCTCGATATTGCTATGAGAATTAAAAATAATTAAATGACTTACGAGGATGATATGCCGTCATCATGTTGTATGTGGCATCATTGAATAGAGAGGAAGGCTTCATAGTATAATCTCGATATTGCTTTATAAACTCCTTCCTGTCAACAGGCTGTATAACTTTTTCAAGCAAAGAAAACATACCTTTTTTCATCTCCACAGTTTGCTTAAAGTTTGTGTTACTAAGGAATAATGGGTCGAGAGTAGCGATAAATGCATGAATAGGATCAATGATATTATCTTTCCTTCTCGTATCAAATAATGACAACATTTTCTCATATTTGTCACTACTTTTTTCAACCCTTTTCTTGAGCTCATCCTTGGCCAACTCCATTGATTGGTATAAATATCCAGAAGTAGAACCTTCACCATCAACTAAGCGAAGAACACGAACTAGTGGTTCTAAAGCTTGTATCAATTCTTTTGCTTCAGACCAAAAGGCATCACTTTGGATGAGTTCAGTCACACTAATAGCCTCTCGTGACTTAGAATAGGACAAATCTCTCCATTCTGGAGATGCCACAAACAAACGTAATTCATTCTCAAGACCAAGCGAAGACTGCACCACAAGAAAATTAGAAGCGAATCTAGTCGCACATGGCTTTTTCAATTCGCGTCCATTTGTAACTTTTCTCATCAAAGCAGTAATAATAGTATGGCGATACATATATGCCTGAATAGATTTAGCATTATCAACAACACTTTGAACCCAGGGAACTTGGTCATATATATCTTTAAAAAGCAATTGAATCCCATGTGTTGCACACCTGTTGTAGCAAATCATAGAATACTTTTGCACAATCATATTCCCAGCAGAAACAAAGTTTGAACCATTATCCGTGATGAATTGAACAACGTGTTGAGGTCCTACCATATCAATGACTTTAGAGGACAAATGACTTAAAAACATTCCAGTTTTCTTATCTTCAGAAATCTCAACCGATTTTAGAAAAACTGAACCTTTAGGGCACGATGCAATAAAATTAATAAAGCATCTTCCTTTAAGATCAGTCCAGGTATCAGACATAATGGAACAACCTGAAACCTCCCATGATTTCTTTACTTCATCAACATATTCATCAACTTTTTTTTTGCTCTTGGAATAAGTTTGGTCCTTAAAGTTGAATAGCTTGGCAATTTATAGGCTGGTCCATAATATGCAATTCCTTTAACAAGATTGATGAATGACTTTTGTTGCACAACATTGAATGCAATATTATTTTGAATAAAAAACGTGGCAAGCAAGTCATCTACATCACTCTTGTCCATTATTTTAACCATTTCAGGCATGGTAGTCTGGTACAATGACGGATGAGAAGACATAGTAGAACCACCCACTCTAAAGTTTGTTGTGCTAGATTCAACTCTAAGCCTTTTAGAGGTCTGTGTAAGTGTTTCACACACCTGAGTTTCTATGTCTTTCGGAACTTGTGTGCAAATCTCAATTTCATTACCTTTTAATCTAGACAAATGAAACTTCAATCTTGTTAAACCTCCAGAATATACTCGTTTACAGTACTTGCATTCAAATTTACCATTCATGTCAGTAGCATGTACCCAAAGTGGATCCTTCTTTCTAACCATGACTCTACAAAAATAAACCAAATTAGCTTAGCACTCAATTACTGAGTAATGACAAATTATGTATCAAAATTAAGAAATTAAAACTTTTCCATTCTATCACAAATTAATGAGTGTGTGACTTAACAATTAATCTTCTCAGCCACAAGAGTTAAATCCCTAATTAGTAACAAAAACAAACAAAATTGTTGGTTAGCTATTTATTAGCCACTTTTTTTTTTGGGAAATAAATTTAAGATTGGCAGATTGCTTTTAAATATACAATTAGGAATTAGGAATTTGGGGGTTTGAGATAATCCTACTGCAACCAAAGGCCAAAAAACGCAGCAGAAAATCCAGAAATTTGATGATAAAAAACATGAAAAAACGCTAAAGACTCACCAGGTATGTTGCTGTGATCAGACCGAAGAGGAAGAGGGAGAGGGAATCGCCGGCTAAGTGATCAGACAGAAGAGGAAGAGTAACAACCAAAGGCCGGTCGCTGCTGGTATCAACCGAAGAGGAACTGGGAAATCGCCGGCGTCTTCTCGGTGTGGACACTGGACAGCGATTCAGCGGCAATTCCAGCAAATGGTCGATCCTCGATAGAGATATGGAATGGAATTTGGATCGGGAAGACGGGAAATAAGAAAAGGGTTTGAGCAGCTGTAGGTTGTGAATTGGGTTGGGTTTTCGGAAAGAAACGCGTATATACGGTTCGGCTAAAAGTACGCGTATTTTAACGTATTTTATGATTTTATACGTATACGCAAGTATAATACGTGTATTATATGTACGTAAGTATAATACGCGTATTATACGCGTATTAACTAACTAGGCTTACATGTACCTATAAGATAACTCAAGCATAAAACAATTATCATTATAGACAAACTGTCAAACACTATTATGTAAACAATAAATAATTTGTGTTACCTTCAAATTGCGATAACCTCCAACTCTTAAGACACATTAGTGCTTCCACTGTTTTGGGAAGTAGTCGACTTCGACTAGGACTAATGATTCTACCACTTGCACTAAAAGCACTTTCTGAGGCTACTAAAGTAATAGGAATGGCCAAAATATCTCTAGCAATCTTTGAAAGAATGGGAAATTGTTTTGCCACAACACTCCAATAAACAAGGATATCAAACTTTTCAGGATCTGCTATCATCACATCATCATCTAAATAAACATCAACTTCCGATCGTAAACGCTTTTTCCTTGGCATCGTAGAACCATGTCTTTCCCACTCCATATCATCCAAATCAGAAGTAGCTGCGGACACATTATTAACACTTGAAGATGAAATATGCTCTTCACTTCTCACTAAAGATCCTCTCTTCTCATAATCAACTACCAAAGAATTCAACAATGCTTTTACTCTGTCACACTCGGTTTCAGCATGTGCTCCATAAAGCTTCTCAAAGTAATACGTAACATGTTCCATCTTTTTCCTTAGATCCAACAAACTTGCCACAGCTAAAGTGCCATTAATTACCCCCCAATATTTATCAAATTTTTCGCTCATTTGATTGGCCATATTTTTTATAAGTGTAGATTCTGATGCTTGCCAACTAATTAACGCGAGTCGAATTTGACAAACTTTTTGAAAATATAAATTGGCTGTGGGATAATTTTGGCCAGAGAAAGTAATTGTTACCTTGGAAAATATAGCCAACTTATCACAAACTTCACGAGCTCTTTCCCACTCACTTTCCTCAGGTAGAACAAATTTTTCTTTCTTTAAAGACTGTCTCAACCTGTAAAATGCATCTTTATACAACAATGCAATCTCAAGCATCTCATATGTAGAATTCCATCTAGTTTTAGAGTCTAGAATCAATCTTTTTGTTTCAAGAATCTTAACATACCTAACAGCACCTTCAAACTTTTCATATCTCTTAGGTGTGGCAACCCAGTAGGCAACTAAATCACGCACTTTCCCAATTGCCTTACCAATAACACTCAACCCATCTTGAACAACCAAATTTAGTATATGTGCACAACATCTCATATGCAAAATAGTCCCTTTCAAAATTAATTTAGATGGATTGAACTTTTCACGCAAATCATCAATTATCCCATCATTCTCGAAAATCAATTTAGATGGATTCGACTTCCCAAGCAAATCATCAATTATCCCATCATTTGTTGTGCAATTATCAAGGGTTATAGTTGATACCTTCTCATCCAAATTGAAATCGACTAAAGCATTCATCAAAACTTTTGCGAGTGCCTCGCTGGTATGTGGAGCTGGCACATATATAAACCTAGGAAGAAAAAATTGACATTAATAAGCAAGGAAAAATGTATAAAAGTTTATTAGATTATGATATTTACCTCAAAATGTGATGTTGTACCTTCCAATCATCATCAATAAAATGGCCTGTCACTGCCATATAACCTTTCTTTTGGTTTTTTGCTGACCACATATCAGTAGTAATGGCAACTCTCCCTTCATTTGAAGACATGCGCTTCTTCAAAATAGACTTCTCATCATTGAAAGCTTTAAAAATATCTGCTTTTATTGTATTCCTTGACACAACTTTAAATTCAGGATTCAAGCTAGCAGAATATCTTTTAAAGCCAATATGATCAACAAGAGATAGAGGGTATTCATGTAAAACAATCATATTGCCTAACTCCATTCTAGACACTTCTTGACTGAATTTTTACTTTCCAGGAACATATGGCATGTTAGGATCTTTTCTAAAAGAAGCTTGAATGAGTTGTTGTCTGACATCCACTTTCTGTTTGGATTTCATGCAACTATTCAAATGATTTTTTAGATGTGTAGTGCCACTTTTCCCTCCTCCAGCATATTTTTTGCCACAACCATGACATATTGCAATCAGTTTATTGTCTATCAATTCCCTAGAAAAATGTTTCCACACAAAAGATTTTAATCTTGTGGACCCTTGATCATCTTTGGTTGAATCTACTTCAGGGGGTATTTTTGAAGATGCTGGAGCACTTGCTTTTTGTACATTGTGTTCCTTTTGTGTTGACTCTTGTGTTGATTTAACATCATCTTCACCCATCCTAAAATGCAACATATATTTATATTAATATATAAAGCCAACAATAATATACATTGATTATTTTCAAAACCAGATTAATTATATTAAAAATTACCTGATTCTTGAAAACCAATAAGTGATTTACTTCTAAAAACCAGATTTTGGATGCACAATTATCAACTAAATATTTTCAAAATCTAAATCAAAAATAAAATCAAGAACCTAACTATTTATACAACAGTCAACACCAATGATTTGCAGGCAAAGTAAGTTATACTTGAAATTACCATACTCACAACCTAATAGGCCAACTTTTGTCATTTTATAACTTTAGTATTTCAAATTACTAGTACTCTTAGTGTTAGGAAATTGTAATGGTCGGCCAGATTTATGGAACTTGGAAGTGTTCCTCCCAAATTCAAGTATTTTTCTAATACTAATTATTTGTCTAACTAAAAATCAACTGCCGACCAGAATATACATCAAAAATAATTCTTTGCACTTATTTTATGAGGATATGAAAGGAGTGAATACCTGAGGAACTACAAGATTGGAGGTCGATCTGTAAAGAAGAGGGGCTGAGGGGCTCCCGGAGTCCCGGTAAAGCAGTGGATGAATCGCGATGGTGGATTGACCGGAAACTTCAATCGCCAGAGAGAGAGTCGATCGAGGAATTGAAGACGGCGGGAGTACAGGACTATTGGACGAGTGGAAGAGGCTGGAGTCTGGAGACAGTGCTGGACGGTTGGGTAATAGGGGGTGATTGCGGTTAGGGTTTTTTAAAAAACATAAGGAGTATATTTTTGTAGGGTTTAATGTCGGGTCGGTCGGGCACGGGTCGGGTCGGTCATATTTAATGAACTGAAACCGACCCGACAAAGGTCGGGTTCGGTTTTAATTTTCTCGGGTCGGTTTCGGATAATAAATTTCTCGGTTCGGATTCAGATATTATAAGCCCCGGCCGGGTCGGTAAAAGTCAGATTCGGGTACAATTTCCATCCCTAAACATGAGGGTCTATTCATACATGCTATAGGGAGACATATTAGGTATGGTAGATCCTCCCGAATATTAGATATACAATTCTAGGACAATTCTATTCTTGCGCACGATCCTATTTATTTCCTATTACAGCTCAATCTCTATATGTCTAGATTATTTGGGCCTAAGCCTTCTAGCGACCGGCCCATCTATTTCTTCCTAGCTAGCTACCTCGATGCTTCCTTGCGAGTTTCAAGTTGAGGGCCGAACAGTCCCATTTATCTAACTAGACTCATGGGCTGGATCTCCATCATAAGCCCCTTAATACTTTGACGTGTCACCAAAGGATTGTTCAGTTTTAATTGAACACTCACGTATCATTGATTCGTCAGTAACTTCGCCATGACGATGTCTAAACTCAGGCGGTTAGGCCCGAAGCCAACCACCATCAAAAGGCATGAGCTTGTTGAGATACAAAGAATTCTAGACAAAGGAGTTGAGTTTCACTACTCATAGAATATCACCATCACCAACAACCCTAAACCACACATGTATATAATTAATTGTGCACTATGAATTTGTAAAGACTGGATTGCGAGTGCCCCTTCGTTGCCTCTATATATGTTGATCTCTGCAATCGCTAGAGATTCCTTCCTAGGCACTTAACTGCGAACACCCATCGCTGTATTGTCTCCTTTATCCGTCTGTATATGCCAAGAGCAATGTGAACCTGCAACCTTCCTCAGCTCAATTTTGGGTATCTACCCCGACACTAAACGACCTCTCTTCAAGAATGTTCCCTCCAAAGCGGAGAAGTGAGACAAGAAATACTTCTTAATCGTCTTCCCCAAGGGGACTGACCTAGGGTTACCCCCATAGTTCCTCCGAATGGAACTTGGGAGAACACTCTCCAAGTCCAAAAAGTTCAATAATGACGCCTTTTTTTAGAAGTTGAAGGGTGAGGCTCCCTTGAGAACTCCGATCCTCTTTACATACCAAGAACCTGATAACCCATTCTGGGTTCTATCCTTTGATGATTCAAGGAAGAAGAGCCTTCATGTCTCCATGGAATCTACCTCAGAAGCTCGAGCAAACCAAGGGACTCCATCTGATGCCACTCTTTTCGAAATCCCCGCTGTCTAAGGGGTTCTCTCCAATGATGCAACTTTTGAAGAGGACCCAAGTAGATGGTTTGGGGAATGTTGACAATCGTGAGACCTTCGCGAACAATGCGGGAGGCTCAACCCTTGAAAATACTCATTTCACCATCAGAGTTTATTTCCTAATATAGTAAGGTTTTGGAGATAAAATGTTTATACTACCCCATCAAATAATTTACTCTGTATCTTATCAACCCACCTTTTCCACTCTATCTTCTCATCTTTATCTTTATCTTTATATATAATATTTGAGACTCCTCTTCACAAGAATCTGACATTTGGCATGTCCATTTGGCATCTTTTTAACATGTCAGCGCCATGTCATTATTGAATATTATTTTAATAAGCCAAAATAGAGTAGAATTATTTTTAACATGTCGACTTCTTCTCCAATTTCTACTTCGCCGATTGCTTCGCCCAAGGAAAGCACTTCACCCCGATTTCTTCTACGCGGATTACAAGCTATTTTTCAACCCCAATCCTTTGCCTTCGCCAAAGGAAAGGACTTTACACCGAGTATTCAGCAAAGGAAAGTCTCTATGAAGAGCCCTAATTGCGGTCATAAA